ATGGGACAAGGCTAGGCGAGGGCAAGGGCAGATCAGACATCAGGAATGAGGATCAAGGGAAGGGTGGACTGGGTTCAAGGGTGTGTGTAGAGCAGGGTTGCAAGGGTTTTAGCGGGGGTTTATGCCATAGTGGTATAGGTATCTAGGACATAGGATTAGCACGATCATAGGCGCGGACAAGTTTCATGGCGTTCTTAAGATTAGAGAGAGGTTCCCATGTAGATTCTTTGTCGGGGTATCCGGTCCATTTGACTTTGTATTCAGTGATTGGTTCCGGATGATCAAATACCTGAGTGGTTCGTCGGCCGATGATGGTTTCGACAACGAATTCAAGGCCTGTGGGTAGCGTGATTGGTGGAGGTCTAGGATATGGGCGGTCGGCAAACTGGAGCGGGGATTCATGGTATTCTTTTAGGTACTTGACATGGAAGACTGGGTGGACAGTGTTCAGGTGGAGGGAGGAGTGGGAGTAGAAGGGCCGGGTCCCGTGGAGCGAGGGGCCTATCGAGTAAAGTGGCTAGCGTTGGGGCAGTTGGTCTGTTGATGACCTAACTGGCGGCAACGAAAACACCCGTTGTGTTCCTGGAGGTATATGCGTTCTGCGGGTGTGAGTTTCTGGAGGCGGCGGGGTGGAGAGGAAGAAGGCGGTCGAGAGGCACGATCCTGGCGTTCCATCCGTATAAGGTGGGGGGTCTGGAGGTCCTCAATGGTGAATTGGGAGGGGTCGAGAGAGGCAGTGTCGAAGTCGTCATCGGAGGTGGGTTGAGTGGTGTTGTTATGGAAAAAGAGGGGGCGGGAGGGAGCGGGCGCGGACCGTTGATGGGGGTGGAGGAGTCGATCATGGTGAAGCATGCGAGAGAGGAGGTCAGCAAGGGGCATGTCCGGTTCGTGGGCGAGGGCGGTGGCAAGATCTTTGTGGCATACTCGCTTGATGCGGGAGATGAACGCAAAGTCGGGAATGACGGTGGTGGGGAGGTGATGGCGGAGGGAGCGGATGTATTGGACGAAGCGGTCTGTGGGACCGGTTTGGCGGAGGTGGCAGAATTGTTCGAGGTAGTCGTCAATGGTTTTCTGGGGGCGGAAGGTGGCAGCGAGAAGTTTGGGCCATTGGAGGAAGGAGTGACGTGGTCCTCCAGAGGCTCGGCGGTTGCTGACTTCAGCCATCCACCATTTGGCGGCATTGCCGAGGAGGCGGGAGATGGCAATGGGGAGCCAGCGGGCTAGGGGCATGTGGTGGAGGTGAAAAGAGTTCTGGAGCTGGGTTAGGAAGAGGAAAACGTCCTCGTGGGGGAGGCCRGAGAAGGACATGATTTCGCCGGATCGGAAGGAACGGGGGATTTCCCCGTCGCGGTGAACGATCTGCGMGAGGGTGTTGAAGCTGAGGTTATCGGGGGTGGTGTCGTAGCAGGTGTGGTCGATTTGGTTGTTGTCCTCAAGGAGGTGGTTGGGGGGGAGTTGTGGCATTGCGGGGTAAACCCCCGAGGTGGCTTGGGAATAGGTGGGACGGATGGTGGGGATGGTGGAGGTGGTCATGATGGGTTGGGAGAGGGTTTGGGAGTGCGGGGAGGGGAGAGGGGTGACATGGATGGGCGAGGAATGAGGYGGTGTGCTGGATGCGCCGGATAAGGGAGGAGGTGGAGGGAACGGGACGATGGTGGAGGTTGAAGGGTTGATGGATGCGGTGGTAGAGGTGGTAGGAGTGGAGGAGGTCGACGGGGGGGTGTTGCTGGAGGCGGCTGTGGAGGAGGGAGTGGTTTGCGTTGTGGGGGTTGGAGTGGTTTGCACTGTGGAGGTTGGAGTAGTTTGCACTGTGGGGGTTGGAGTGGTTTGCGCGGTGGTGACGACCGTGATGGAGGGGGTGGTCCCTTCGAGCGTGGTGACGCSGTCGCATATGGACGACATGTTGGCCTTTATGTCGTCGAGAGAGGCGGTGACGGAGGTTCGGAGGGTGTTGAGTGCGTGGAGGATGGCGGAGAGGTCGAGGGTGGCGGTGTTTGCTGGTGGTTGTTCGCCTGCGAGGTTGCGAGCGATGCTATCAACTGAGTCGGTGCGGATGTCGGACATGTTGATGGAGGATGCGGCCATGTTGGGGGAAGAGGGGGTGGAGGACGTGGCCTGAGCGGGTGTGGAGGATGCAGCAGCAGCGGTGGCGGCGGCGGCAGCGGCGACATCGAAGGCGGCGCGTTGGGAGTTCTTAAAGAGATTAATTCAGTCGTGAATTAATTGAATTTAGTCGGAATTAATTGAGGGGTTTAGAATAAAATTTTTAAAAGAAAAGTACTTCCAAATTGTAAAAAAAGTTTCGAATTTCAACAAAAATTGTGAAAAGAAATTGTTAATTTAAAATACTGGGAAAAAGAATTAATTGGAATTATTTTTGAATTTTCAAAACAAATATCGAAAAAGGAATTTAACTAATTTTAACGTATTTTCAAACTTTTCGAAAAGAAAAACGAATGAATTGAAAGTAGTTTCGAATTTCAAAGAAATGTCGAAAAAGAAAAAAAAAATTCTAACGTATTTCGAGTTACAAAAAAGAAAGAGTTTGATTAATTCTAAAATGTTTTCCAAATTACAAAAATCCGAAAAAAAATAAGGAATGTTTTCGAATTATGAAAAAGAAATGTCGAAAAAGAATTTAATTAATTCTGAAATTTTTGAAAAATTTCAAAAAAAGAATTGATTAAACTGATTTTCGAATTTCGAAGATGAAATGTCGAGAGAGAATGCTTAATCCTATGTATTTCGAAAATTTTGAAAGAAGAAAATTCGTTTGAGAAAGAGTATGCGTTTGAGTATTTTCGAATGTACAAAAAAAAAGAATATAAAATGGATTCTAGAAATGAATAAAATGAATTTTGATGTAAATCGAGGGCGGGGCGATCCTATCTACTATTGATTGGGTGGTAGCGTGGCAAGTAGGGCACGGGTAGATTGGTGATGATGATGATGATGACGATGAGGCGGGGACG